ATTTTATGGACGAGCATTGTATACTCCAATAACAAAAAATAAGTAATTTGAAACCTGCTAAGCAGACATATGTGTACAGCATTAGTCCTCGCACAAAGCAGATGCATTACCTCATCCAGAGGGTAGGCGAACGTATTGAAAATTCCATTATTGAATTTTACATTTTCCTTCAATATCCTGTGGTGCTCGATAATCGATATTTCAAGGACAATAACAGTTAGTCATTTTGTACGTCTGACAAGCTGATATCAAAGTTAACTAGATTTTTTGCCATTATGGCTATGCCACTGTAAGTTATGTCTTAAAGCCATTTCGACGGCATAAAAAATGCATCAGTTTTTTCACAATGCCTTGAACATCTGAACTCGTTCTCATATTCGTATAGCACCACAGTCGCGTGTGCTATGGAACATAAATCCATACAGCCACTGCAGGCAGATTTAAGCTAGAATACAACCAGTAACATTTTTGTGTCAGTTTTTATCACACATCCTACGAGATATCTACTGGCATGTGCTGTATGTGAGCTTATGGAATTTGCATTGCTTTTGAGAGATTGCAGTTCAAATTGTTGGAAGGATGGTGAATGAAGTGTAACCTATTGCGCTGTAAATATTGATGATTCCTGCATACCTTGCTCGAAGTTTTTTTGGGCAGATATGTACCATACCATTCTAGTTCAATAGTTAAAAACTATTAAAATGAAACTAAAAGAAACTTATTTCTAAATATCTGCTAAAGTTCGCGGCATTGTCAAACTTATCCAATAAATGTCGCGAAATTCTGAATTTAGTTTCTTTTGTTGTTTTCACTTCTATGCTCTGGAAGTTAAAATTTTGACAGCGAATACTAGATCGTTGCATTTATGATGAATTGATGAATTGATGAAACGATATCAACTGCTGAGTTATTCCGAGTAAAAAATGGAGACATGTCACTGAATTTTCTATTGAAAAGAAAAACGCTTCCCACTTTTTAAGTAAGAAATATTACATTTTTGTTGAAGTTATTGATAAAATTTTCCTAAACTCATGACGGCTTTAATCGAATGGTTGAAAGAATACTTTGGAAAAATAAAGTTATTAAGCTTAACTTGAAAACTTTGTGTAAAAGTTTTTAAAATGTGGGAAAACTTTAAGTTTTGCGTAGAAATAGAATGATATATTTATAGTGTATAAAATTATTTCTTAAAATATAAATTTTCTGTCTTGTATCGCCATATCAGTTCATATGAAACTATGAGATTTAGTTTTAGTTTGTTGTTTTAAAAAAATTTGTATTTTATTAGTAACATGTAAGTCTTTCAAAGTTGATCCCACATTAGTACACTTGGAACATGCGAAAAAAAGAGTTAATCATACACCCAAAGCAAGTTAACATAAGAAGAATCGTAGGGGTAAAATCAAAATCTATTCGCAAAAAGCAAAAATAATCACAAAATTATTGAATTTACCAACGAAACCATATATCGTGGTGTCGTTTTCGATAAAAGTTTTTTTACTTATTCAGATACATGAATACTTTGTAAATAGACAAAATATAGCTACTAAAATATTGCTACAAATACTAACATGACTTCAACTTTTATGTGATGGTTACTCAACTAGATAATAGTAACGAGTGGGAAATTTAGGTCTATAGATAATATAAATCATCTAACTCAAATGAAATTTAACTATACCTGTCCCATTTGAGATTTTATCTCAATATTTTATCAAAGTTTTATCAAAGTAGATTCATTTGCACATTATGGTACTTAAAATTTTTTGGGTTTTCGTTGCAGATAGCTTTACCTATGAGTCATACTCATATTGCATTGCTAGCATGAAATTTGTCATTCAAGTCTAAAGTCGAAAATATTTAAGGAGGAAGATATATAAGCCGACTAAACAAATGTGAAATAGTTGTGCGATAATAATAGGTTCAAATATTGAAAAATTATCTAAGATCAATTACTTAATCAATACCGTACAGATTAAAAAAATTATATACATTTTTTTACATGAATGGTTAACTAACATTATTAAGAGACTTTATTTTAAAAACTCCTTCTTCACACTAAAACGGATATAAGGTCCTGGTTTACGTAGATTAAAATTGTATAGCTTAACTACAAAAATCACATACAATACAAAGCCTTTGTGAGAGAAAAAAAGTTTTTATTATATGAAATTTATTTCTACTGTTAAACAATATAAATATTTATGAGTACATAAAAGCATAAATATGTACGTAGGAAGGAAATTTGGTAGCAGTAAATAAATCGCACTCCTACGATACAATTGCTGATTTATATTTATTGACGCCAATTTCTACTCGGACGTACATATTTTGGAGCACTAAGTATCGCATCTTAAATTCACCCAACAACAAATGCAGTGACAGCTAACATAATAAGAACAGCAACTATAACAACAATAACAACAATAACTACGAGTACAACAATAAGAACGAGTACAACAATAACAACGAGTACAACAATAGCAATAACAATGGGGGGACATATTTTATTTATTGTGTTTGTACTGGTGAAATTGTTTTAATTTTGGCCAATAATGTCGATATCACTGTCACTTGTTTTGTTACCAAGTTTGGACAAACGAACACACACGCTGTATTACAGTACAGCGTAATAATAATATAGCATATAAATTATTACATATGCTCATGTGTGAGTAGAGAGTGTGAGTAAAGTGTGTGTGCATATGTAATGCGCACACATACCAGCAAACAGCTGACACATGTAATAATTCAATTGTGCGAACAACTATTAAATAAGATTGATGACAAGCAGAAATCCCCAGCATAGAAAATGGTTAAGCTTTGTATCTGAATGAAGTGTGCGGAAGACAGAAAACTGAACCGAAATTTTGTTATTTTATTTTATTCAATTTTTTTTTATTTTTTATTATTTTATACTGTGTTTGTTCAAACAATTTTATATTTTATTTTTTGTACATTAAAATTACACACAACCATTGCAACGAATGGTATCCCCTTCTTGGTACTCAGTATTCCCAATCTATTTTGCTATTTTGTTGCTGCGATAGCCACAGTGGCACCAAGCCAATGGAATATGTTTTGGGAAGGGGACTTGGCTGCTGTACTTAAGCTTTGTCTTAAATGTCAAGTATATTTTGTCAAATGAAAAATGATTTGACATTTGCCGATTAATGCAATCTTTCTAATATATTTTAAGTATCTAACAAAATGGGAAAAGTGCACACTGAGCAAAAATAATAAGTTTTTACTTAATTGAAATTCTTCAATTATGTGTGTCTCTTCTAAGAAATTTTGAAAGATATTAGTTATCTTAAAATTTATGCTTATAATGTGCATAAAAATAGATTTTCATAAATTCTTATTTTATTCATAAAATGACTATCATTAATAATGAAAACGGTTATTCTTAAAATAAATTTTCTCTTTATGTATATTAACATTGTATTTATTTACTAAGATATCCTATATACTGAAATGTATGTATAAATAACTACAAAGTTTAATATAAAAAAAAATCCGATTAAAATATTTGTTTATTAAAAGAAATGATTTTCTTTGTTTAACCAAACGTATTTACTACCTAATAGTTGAAGAGGCAATGACTTGCATATTCAAAATTCAAAATTTTGTATTTTTATTTGTAAAAGAATGATACTACAATTAATGATCACTATAAGAGTATGAATAAAGTTAAATCTCTTTTTACAGAATATTTTACTTCACTATAATTTCTGTGGTTTATTTAATTGCAAATAAATAAATATTTTAAAATGTAATTCTAGTTTCTTTTAAAAATAAAAAATTCTCTAACTCGAAGTCTCCATAAGTCGAACCTTTTCTTTGGAAAATTGGATTTCGAATTATGGAAGTTTGATTGTATTTTTGAAAAATCGTGAAGAACCTGATTTTTTTCGACATATGATTTTAGACATTTTCGAAAAGTTTAATTTTTCTCAAAATGAACTTAGAAAATATGATCATCCAAAGTAGATATTTTTGAAAATTTTGGGTAACCAATTTTTTTTTAAAGTGAACTGGTAAAATATAACGATTCAATGCAGTTAATTATGTTATGAACATTTTCAATAACCTATTTTTTCTCAAAATAAACTCAGAAAATATAATGATCTAAAGAAGATATTTTTGGAAATGTTTGGAAAACTTGATTTTTCTCGAAGTGTACTAAGAAAATATGATGATTAGTTTTGAAAAATTTTGGATAACCTAATTTTTTTTAAAATGAACTAGTAAAATATGAATAAAGTAGATATTTCTCTTAAAGCAAACTTGAAAAATATGGTGATCTAAAGTAGATATTCATGAAAAAATTTGGATAGCCTAATTTTTCTTAAAGGGAAAATATAGTATATAACTATACAAGTATTGGACTTATTTTGTAGCAAATTTAGTAGACAATTCATTCATTGAACTTACCTAAATTTAATAGGGGGATTTCAGCTTGTATTTGCTTTTATTCAATAACTATTAGATATACTGAAAAACTTTGTATGAATGAATTGTTTATTTTAAATAGATCTATAACTTTTATGTAAAATTAAATATGTCGGAGATATAAGCAATCAAAGATGAATTTTATGGAAAAAATCGTTATTTTCCAGTCTTTGAGGCTCTTGGGGCACCATTTCCACTTATCCAATTGAACTAAAATTTCACACAGATTATTTTTTTAGTAAAATGAACCGATCTGGGGGGTGCCGCGGGCAATTTTCCGACTTTCGAAAATTAATGGCACCCTAGTAGACATAGCTCAGATATGTTTACACTCTTACAAATAGTATTCTATTTGTAAGAGTGTAGAGAGAGAAAGAGAGAGAGAGAGAGAGAGGGAGAGAGGGAGAGAGAAGGAGAGAGAGAGAGAGAGAGAGAGAGAGAAATCACTAATTATAATATTATTCATAATACAAAATGCGTAGTTAGTATATATATATAAATAATTTCACTAATTATCATTTATAATAGTATTATATTATTTACAGATTTTACTGTTTTATCTGCTGCTTTCATTTGTTTATGGTAAGTACAAATATGAATTTATTTGTAGAATTTATGTATATACATATGCGTATATACATTTGTTAAATATTCTTTCTAAATGTAAGCAATATGAAACATATAAACATTAACATTCTATCACAACAACTTATGGCATTTTACAAACCCAGATCTGAATATTTTACATTTAAAAATATCATTTAAATTGAAACTGAGAATGGCGGAAGCAAGTTTATTTGTTGGTTGTTTTATTCCTTTAAGGAAATGTTGCAATGTGACAAGATATAAATAAAAAAAAAATATCTGTTGGATTTTACTTTTTTCATTTTTGTAATAAATATTTTTCTGCCATTGAATCGACAGTTCCAGTTCAAACTCGGATTTCCACTTTATTAGAAATAAAATACTTCCATTAACAATTTTGATAGTTTTGAACAAATAAAGAAGTTCCTTTACATGTTCTTATGGCCCTTGAAAAATTTAGTAGAGTTTAATAGTTTTGAACTACTTATCACGAATTCGTTTAATAAAAAATTTTAGTTTTATGTTATATTTTCCTTCACTACAAAATCGATTGTTTTCATGCCTAAATTGGTTAGTCTTGTGATAATCTTGTCAGTATAATTTCGTATTAATAATTTAGTTCAAGTGATTCTTGTTGCTTTTTCTTAATGTTTACTTTAGAGAAAATCCATTTCATACAGTAAGATTTTCGAATTAAGTTTTTGTAGTTGTATTTAATAAGTTTGTGTACCTGTAGACTAGATGCCCGACATTTGTTCAATAATTTTAGCGGTCTGTCATCAAAGTTTTCTGATGCTGATGATCAATCTTCAGCATTCATTGCATCGCTTTGGGAACTTGTCTACGAATCTGCTTGTGATGGAATTTGTAACATCGTGGTTTTTGCAAGGTGTGGTTTTTTTTATAAAGGAATGTACCAATTTTGTTATCAGAATACATATTATTGGCGTTATTCAAAATTCGCTTATTTTGATAACTTTTTCTGGATACTGGGCTTTATTGCTACCTTAATAGTTTTTCTAATTCGTATTCCTGAAATATTATACTTACAATAGAGATTAAAGTTGTAACTACTTCATAAAAAATTTTTAATGGAAAATTGTTGTTTTTCACACAATTTTCATATTATTTTCTTTTTCTTCCTTTTTTTCCTTCTACTTTTTCTCGGCTACTGTTGCAATTATTATTATTATTATAATACAGGTAACGTACAAGATAAGTAGCTTCAAGTAGTTTGGTTTTGCAGAAGTTTGAAAGCGTCGAGAGTCATAATCTGAGACTTACACCTACAAAAACCGCCTCTTGGGAATGAGTAGTGAAAGATCCTAACTATCGCACTGTAAAAAGCTTCCGCCTGAAACAACATTTCAGTAATGATGGAGTGAAACATTAGAAGATTATTATTTAATTATTGAAATTATTCATTAATTTTAAAATATAAATAAGCTAGTAGTAAAAACAAACATCACATTAATTATAAGTGGTGACAGATATTTTAATAAGGCTTAAGACTTTTTTGGAGTGTACTTTTTACTGCGGGCTGCATTATCCACAATTAAATAACAAAATTGAGGAAGAGGAATGATACATCTTGTGAAAATAGAGAAAACGGAATTGGAGAGGTATATGAGAAAGAGCTTAAAGGAGCAGTGGTAGGTTCAACTGTGTGCCGAATACCCAGAGGAAAATTGTGAGAGCGAGTAGGTAGTCTACATTCTAAAGACAACAGGAGATAAAATTTCTAATGTACATTTTAATTTAAATTACAATAGTTTAAGCTTGAAGAAAAGAACCTAAAACAATGTGAAAGCTACGGTCAGGTTCGATTTTACTATAACCGCAAAAATTTATCTAATATTTTTCTTATTGGTCATTTGTTGTTTTTGGATTGTAATGATACTAAGAGTTATATAAAATACAACTTATTGAATTAGTCATAATTATTTTATTAATTTTATTAGTTCGGTATCTATACATTTAAACTTATAAATATATCTTCAGGTTGTTTTAAATGTACAATTGTAATAAGTTCAAAGGTGTCACTCTATTTTTTTTTAAATTACTTGGTTCGGTGCAATAAATTTTTTAAATACTCTTAAAAATTAAATGAATAATATACGTATGTGCTCGAGTTTAAAAATTTATTATCTGTATATATATATATATATTTATATGTATTTATTTCTATATACACATTGTGCATTCAATTGGTTTAACTAAGTTATTGTTTTAACAGAGAAATGAAAAAAGTTGAATCCACTTAAGTATAATTTTTGTAATGTGATGTATTATAGCTTATTGAATGAATAATGTGCAGAGCAAATACTTAAGGCCAAAGAACAAAGCATGGTCTTCTATGTCGTATAAATATCAGACACTGTGTGAAAGCGGCTAATGCTGCGAGTCTGTGATATGTGACTGTTGGGTACATGTACATACAAATAGGAACGTTGCAAAAATTGAGCTTAGTGCCACTTTAATATGTTAACTACAATAGCGACAATTGTATCTGCTCCAACTGCAGATACTCATATAACACATAAACTATGAACGATGAACGATGAGCGATGAGCTAAGATAAAATGGTCATGTATGATCCAAGTTCAGAGGATGTGGCTGGTTGTGGTATAATTTTTGCTTCTAGCTGTCACATTGTCGTTGCTAAGCACTTTAAGGATAATGAATGAACCAATAAAAATATTTAACACAAGAGTTTCTTTCAGAAAGTAAGCGGCATGTTTTCAAATGGAAGAATGAAAAAAGGCGAACTTCTTTTAACACACAGCATGAAGAAGATGCTGTGCCCTTGTACATATGTCTTCTTTGCAGAGCACAAAAATATAGTGGAAGAAGTGCATAAGAAAATAGCCAAGTTCACTTTAAGATGCTGAGTATTTCGCATGTTTGTTGGGTAAAATTTTATGTTCATGTTTGTTTGCCATTAGCTCAGTAAGAGTTGAAGATATAAGGCGAACATGGAAGTACATGTGTATCTGTAGTCTTAAATTTGTTGGTTTCTAGTCAGTGTTAAAGAATAATTGTGTAAAGTATGTAATATATCTGTGATTTTATGGTTAAATCCGTTCCTGCTGGTTTCATGATTAAGTAAGAAATTGTACCTTAAAACAAATTCGAGTAATTCCTAGTGGTCTTTATAATTAAGGTCAAGACGATTATACATTTTCATTGGGAATAGATAAAATTTTTTTCCAGTTTTATAAAAATTTAATCTTATCTAAACCGCTTTGAAAGGTGTTATTAAATAATTTAGTTACTTTTAAATAAGAAGCATTGAAACAAAGAACATGGTATATTCATTCACTAAAGTTTTGACAAAATATATTTGAAGGGCTTATGTTTTAATATTTCATTAAATGATTTAAATTGTTACATATAGTTTAGCTCTATTACGATTTATTTGACCTAAACTTTATCGCATGTCATTCTGTTGTCCTGATTGCAGTTTTTCGTTATTGATATGCTTTGTGTAGATTTATTTCTTCCGTGTGATGCGTGGACATCAAAGATTTTCATAAATTTTGTAGTTGCAGTTCATTGCTATTAGAAAAACCTCTCCATTTTCTTTAAGTTTTTTTTATTTTCTTTAGACATTAAGACATTTGCAGAGTCTAAATACATAAAGAATGAAGATATTTTTAATTTTAAAAGATTGTCATAAAACATCAAACATTTTACAGAAATTATTTTTACAGCCAATCATTTTGATTGTGGAGTAGCAAGTAAGGTAATGCGAAATGGTTATGGTAACTAATAACCGTTACAACAATTATTTTAGTAAAAAAATTTTCAATGAGAAATAATTACAGAACATGGAGGACCCTCTTTGTTAGCTCACGACCTGTGTTTGTTCCGTACATATTTTAATAGTGTGATAATCTTCTTCTTAAATTGTATGTGTAATATATATTGATCAATATATATAAAGTATAAAGACACATAATTGTGAAAGATGTATAAAATATTTTTATGTATTATGTATTACATTATTGTATTATTTTACAATTTATTTATACAGTAAATCCTCTTGAGATTATATCCTAAACTGATCTCTAAAGAGCTAGTTACAAAGTGCCAATAGTTTATATGAGCGAATTTGATGAATAATTTCATACACATTCCATTATTTTCGATATACATCAGAGTAGTTTTATTGAGATCCTTTTTATTTTACAAAACTAAATTCTAGAAACTAAATTCTTATTATAAACTATTATTTTCAGTGAGGAGGATTTTTTTATCGAGCAATAGTAAATTATTAATTGAAAATTAATAATTAAATTAATTAATTGAATTTTTAGTAGACCATACAGCTAATTCGAGTATTGACAAATACTCATCATCAGTGATTGTGGAATTATTTCCAAAATTTAATTATTCTTAGATAATATTTTGAGACTGCAAGTATCAAGAGTTGAATTTGTGCCCTGCCAAATTTGAAGCTAAGAGTCAGCGTTCATTAGCCAACTGATCTAAAGCCGTACTTGACTTGCATGTTCGAACTAGAAGTTTTGTCAATTCACATGTTTTCTTATATTTTGTTCTGTTTTGTATTTCTTTTAATATGTATTTAAAAATTTTTTCTTAATCTCAGTTAACATATAAGACTTTCTTGAGCCATCAGTAATTATTATTAATGTTGTAAGTGTGGAACGTTCTAAGCTCTGTTAAAATTATACTTTTCTACCTATTGTTTTGATAGCTTTTCAGTAAAAAGTTAAATATTTTTTCTACATCACTACCATTTTATAAAATAAACTTTAATTATTTAAAGTTATTTAAGTTAGTTCCTAAAGCAATAAAAAATTTATTGCTCCAAAAATTATAATAAAAAATCTCTCAGGCAAAATGGAACTGAATTAAATATTTCCTATAAGTATTATACGCACAAAACAATAATTCACTCTCGTTTAGCTCGCATAAAACACCTTTTGCGTCAATAAAAAATGATTACACCAAGTCAAACCTTTTTGACATTT